TTAAATTTTAAGATTTATGATTACTACTTTGATTTATTTCAGTAGTAACTTATGAATCTTTTTAATTATTTATAGGTATAAATTCATAGGTAATGGTTTGCAGCTTTCCATTGTTGATATTTACAACTAAACAGTCACAATTTTTAGACTATAACATTTTTGAATCAGGAATACTGAGTGTTGTGACTCACACGATAATCTCAAACCACTGACGGCTCAATCATATACATGGGTCACGATTTCCAGATTTTAAAAATTTCCTGGAGTTCTAGTGAGAAACAGTAAGCAGTGGAGTTCAACCAGGTCTGTTGGGAGATATTGTTCATTCTCTAATTTTAATATAATATAGCTACAAAATAATATGATGTTCAAAATGACATGTTTGTGTTAAATTTTTCCTTAAAGATTCCCTTCTAAAGAATACTAGAAGAAATTGTAAGCTTATTTATTTGTTTGTTTAGTTTATTGTTTGGTCAAATATAATCAACTTAAATTTTAAGATTTATGATTACTACTTTGATTTATTTCAGTAGTAACTTATGAATCTTTTTAATTATTTATAGGTATAAATTCATAGGTAATGGTTTGCAGCTTTTCATTGTTGATATTTACAACTAAACAGTCACAATTTTTAGACTATAACATTTTTGAATCAGGAATACTGAGTGTTGTGACTCACACGATAATCTCAAACCACTGACGGCTCAATCATATACATGGGTCACGATTTCCAGATTTTAAAAATTTCCTGGAGTTCTAGTGAGAAACAGTAAGCAGTGGAGTTCAACCAGGTCTGTTGGGAGATATTGTTCATTCTCTAATTTTAATATAATATAGCTACAAAATAATATGATGTTCAAAATGACATGTTTGTGTTAAATTTTTCCTTAAAGATTCCCTTCTAAAGAATACTAGAAGAAATTGTAAGCTTATTTATTTGTTTGTTTAGTTTATTGTTTGGTCAAATATAATCAACTTAAATTTTAAGATTTATGATTAATACTTTGATTTATTTCAGTAGTAACTTATGAATCTTTTTAATTATTTATAGGTATAAATTCATAGGTAATGGTTTGCAGCTTTTCATTGTTGATATTTACAACTAAACAGTCACAATTTTTAGACTATAACATTTTTGAATCAGGAATACTGAGTGTTGTGACTCACACGATAATCTCAAACCACTGACGGCTCAATCATATACATGGGTCACGATTTCCAGATTTTAAAAATTTCCTGGAGTTCTAGTGAGAAACAGTAAGCAGTGGAGTTCAACCAGGTCTGTTGGGAGATATTGTTCATTCTCTAATTTTAATATAATATAGCTACAAAATAATATGATGTTCAAAATGACATGTTTGTGTTAAATTTTTCCTTAAAGATTCCCTTCTAAAGAATACTAGAAGAAATTGTAAGCTTATTTATTTGTTTGTTTAGTTTATTGTTTGGTCAAATATAATCAACTTAAATTTTAAGATTTATGATTACTACTTTGATTTATTTCAGTAGTAACTTATGAATCTTTTTAATTATTTATAGGTATAAATTCATAGGTAATGGTTTGCAGCTTTTCATTGTTGATATTTACAACTAAACAGTCACAATTTTTAGACTATAACATTTTTGAATCAGGAATACTGAGTGTTGTGACTCACACGATAATCTCAAACCACTGACGGCTCAATCATATACATGGGTCACGATTTCCAGATTTTAAAAATTTCCTGGAGTTCTAGTGAGAAACAGTAAGCAGTGGAGTTCAACCAGGTCTGTTGGGAGATATTGTTCATTCTCTAATTTTAATATAATATAGCTACAAAATAATATGATGTTCAAAATGACATGTTTGTGTTAAATTTTTCCTTAAAGATTCCCTTCTAAAGAATACTAGAAGAAATTGTAAGCTTATTTATTTGTTTGTTTAGTTTATTGTTTGGTCAAATATAATCAACTTAAATTTTAAGATTTATGATTACTACTTTGATTTATTTCAGTAGTAACTTATGAATCTTTTTAATTTTTTATAGGTATAAATTCATAGGTAATGGTTTGCAGCTTTTCATTGTTGATATTTACAACTAAACAGTCACAATTTTTAGACTATAACATTTTTGAATCAGGAATACTGAGTGTTGTGACTCACACGATAATCTCAAACCACTGACGGCTCAATCATATACATGGGTCACGATTTCCAGATTTTAAAATTTTCCTGGAGTTCTAGTGAGAAACAGTAAGCAGTGGAGTTCAACCAGGTCTGTTGGGAGATATTGTTCATTCTCTAATTTTAATATAATATAGCTACAAAATAATATGATGTTCAAAATGACATGTTTGTGTTAAATTTTTCCTTAAAGATTCCCTTCTAAAGAATACTAGAAGAAATTGTAAGCTTATTTATTTGTTTGTTTAGTTTATTGTTTGGTCAAATATAATCAACTTAAATTTTAAGATTTATGATTAATACTTTGATTTATTTCAGTAGTAACTTATGAATCTTTTTAATTATTTATAGGTATAAATTCATAGGTAATGGTTTGCAGCTTTTCATTGTTGATATTTACAACTAAACAGTCACAATTTTTAGACTATAACATTTTTGAATCAGGAATACTGAGTGTTGTGACTCACACGATAATCTCAAACCACTGACGGCTCAATCATATACATGGGTCACGATTTCCAGATTTTAAAAATTTCCTGGAGTTCTAGTGAGAAACAGTAAGCAGTGGAGTTCAACCAGATCTGTTGGGAGATATTGTTCATTCTCTAATTTTAATATAATATAGCTACAAAATAATATGATGTTCAAAATGACATGTTTGTGTTAAATTTTTCCTTAAAGATTCCCTTCTAAAGAATACTGGAAGAGATTGTAAGCTTATTTATTTGTTTGTTTAGTTTATTGTTTGGTCAAATATAATCAACTTAAATTTTAAGATTTATGATTACTACTTTGATTTATTTCAGTAGTAACTTATGAATCTTTTTAATTATTTATAGTTGATGAAATTAAGGTTAACAAAAATGGCTATTAAAAAGGATTGGTAAATTTTGTAAACAAAATGTTTATTTTAAAATTTGAAATTAAAACAGAACATTAGAATTACATTTTAAGGAATTTGAATTGGTTCGCTTTTTTTATAATGTAGTAATGTAAACAAATTACATTAAGTGAATCAACAAATTAGGGATTTTGTTATTACTCAATAGTTTTATGTGCGTTCTATAAAATGATCTAACAAAGTGCTGGAACGATGTATTGCAAAATGTTCAATATGGTGGTTTAATTAGATAGTTGGGTACCATTGAGATCATGAGCCAACCCAAGTTACACAACAATCAAGTAGTCACTTCGAGAGGAAATATCCAGAGAAGCTGTGGTTAGTCTAATCCAGTCGTGTGGGGTGTGGAGAAACATATTGACGACAATGGGAGATTGTTAAGCAATATCACCAATTGAATTAGGCTTATACAACATTGAATTTCAGCTCAGTCGTCTAAAGGTTAGGTTTTCGCCTCCAGACCAGGTCTTGAGTTTGTTCCTCGGTGAGGTTTTGGTTGGAAACTGTTGATGAGTCCCATTCCCAGAGGAGCAGCTGTTCAGATTTTCAATAATTATCTTAAATCCGTTCGTGATCCAGATGACATTCCAAAATGTTATTTTAGAAATTTCTACTGTTTACTCAATATTACATTATATTTTTCTGAACTGAGATATAGCACGACAGTTATCCAATGGCATTAGTGACAACTGTTATATTTCCAACATATATGAACCTTATCAGTCGACACTTCTCAGTAGCACTTCAGAGACATCTTAAAGTAAACCAATAGTCAGCCGACTACTCTAGTTTAGCTGAAAACGTTTTGCGATGGTAGATATAACTTATAGATTGTATTAGTCACAGGATGACCATTAAGCTCTACTGAAAAGTTACAGAAGTTGAAATTGTACCACTGAACGCCAACCAAGTGGTTTTAAATTCTAAGCGCACGTCGAGATAGCTGGAGGTTTTGGGCCGGATATCTAGCGGGCACATGTGGACAAATGAGGAGTCACATACTAGAACGAACCTGGTGTCCAGTATTTCATGGTACTCCAAGATCATTCTGCGAAAAATAAAACCTACAAGCGCAACCAATCTCCATAAAATCTATTCAACTAAACTATAGTACGAGAAGACCTCAGCTGAGAACCGGTTAAAACTGAGAGGTAGCTGTTCCATCCTATCTGCGTATTAATGATGAACGTCACACTAAGACAAAACCACCGTCTAATGTCCTCTAAACTTGAGAAAACTCATCAAGTGACTATTTCTACAAACCATGAGGCTGCATTAACATTGTTAACGACCACAATTGTTTTAGTAGTTAATACTATTGAGAACACGATCCGATAAATGTTGAACCACCAACGAAAACCTGGAAGCACCGGGCGGTTGTCTCGTCCTAGTATAGGACTCCTTAGCAGCGCGAATTAACGGTCCTGCACATGAGACTCAGATCCAGGACTTTCAGTCTTAGGAGAAGGCTTGGTCTCTGGATAACTAAGCAACTGTCCAACGGCAATCGCGCAATATCGTGGATTGGTTGGAGTTAAACTTTAGCCCCATCGGACCGGTGACTACAGTACCTATAGATCAATGAGCCTGAGTCCAATGATCAATAATTTTAAACTTAGTTCTCGTTTTCTTCAGTAGGAAACCGTTTCAATCTTGTTTTACTTTACTCTATCAATCATGACTTTCCTTCTCTACTTATGTCAACTTAAAAACTTTTTTCCGTTTTATGTGCTATTGTGAATTGTACCAGTTCGAATATGTTCTTTTATTATTGACAGAAATCGTACGTCTGTCTGGTCACCTTTACTTTCATTGCTATAATTGACTTACTTAACATTTTAAAAAATGTCTAATAGATTTACAAAAAGATTGCGTAGATCTCAACAGCAGGGGTACATAAGTGAAAACCCAACAAACTTGAAAATATAAACAATAAGATTTTAAAAATCGACAAGAAAAATTCAACAAATCATCATCATTTTAAATGAGATATAAACATTTTGTTTGGAATTAAAATCAAGAGAAATACTGAAGAGATAATTCTTATTCCCAGTAACCAATTTGAGAGGACGAGAATACAATACTTCATAGGGGTTTATTGACGCAATTACTTACTAACCAAGTACATGTACTTTGACTAATATTATCTATATGAGAGCTAGTGATATTAACTGAACTGAAGTGTTATTGGAGAGTGGTTTGAATCTATTATTAAATAACTGAATATCAGATGCTTTAAATCAAATGACTAGGTTATCCATATAATATCAATTTAAAAATATTCATATATCGTCATAATTCATATTCACCGTCTTTAGAACAAATTTTGTGGTTGGTTGAAAACTGAGAACAGATTTGTAAACTTTACTTTCAGTAATCCTGGTCTATATGAGTAGTTTTGGTATTGTGTTCTCTGAGCTCGATGACATAGTTGTGAAGCAATCATTGTCGCTCCGGATAATCTTATATAATAAGCGCTGATAATGTGTTGTCCAGAGCGAAAATGAAAACTATGAAATTAAAACATCTAGTTGGAAGAATTCAACACTACCACAAGTATCCACCTGAATTGAAAAATATTCTCCATTATTTCATAGCATAGTTTATGTTGTCTATTACCACAAAGAATTGGACAACAACAAAGTGGCAATTAAATTGAATATTCTTTGCAAACAAAACAAAAACTTTATTTGTATTCATAATCTATACATAAGAAATATTTGGTGGGAGAAAATGTTATCAAAAAATATATAGATATGTTGTTTTGAGTGTATCTTTCAAACGTATCACAGAAAACATACTGAAAGCAATCTATTTGTATTCTAAAGAGGAATTTAAATAAAATAATGATCAGAATACTACTAATAAGAAGAAAATAAGTAATAAGTAAATGATTACAGGCAAATCAATTAGGTAGATGTGAAAGGTGGATATAAAGAAAAATAAACTACTTATAACAGTAGTAATAAGAAATTGAATAAAGTTACTAACTAATTTCACCGATTGGTGTAATACTAAGCCATAATTCCTGAGTGAATTGATACAATTCATCTGAAACTGAAACTTTATATTGTGTTGGTTTGGTTATACGTTTATAATCTGATCTTAGAGTGTTTAATTCTTTCATAGCGTATTCTCTAGATTCATCCAATGTTGGCAATGGTTTAACTAACTGTAATTGGTTAACAAGAAGCAAAGAGAGAGAATGAGTGGGTGAGATGAAATGAAGATAATTTAAATGACATTATTATAGTACATGTATATACAAGTATTAGCGTTGCAAACAATTACTCAATAATACTTCGTCTAGTTTATATAATCTGATGCAGTTCACCCAATAAATTCGCAAACTGAAGTGATGAAAATTTTAATTTACAAAATTTGGAATACAGCAATCTTACCTCTCTTTAAAGTACTGCCTAATCGTGGCAATATACTCATATTACCACCGTTTATACTGTTCAACGCATAACGCTTGATGTTGCATTACTGAGTAATAATTCATCATCTATTTAATGAAAACTGGAAGTTTGAGAAGCCCTACTAGTCGATTCAAAGTTCGATTCTTCCCGAGTTTAAAATCAGGTATTAGCAACTTTACAAACGATTCAAGAGCAAGATACCCATCCTCAAACGTTTTTCTAGAATGATGTATACAGATGATTTTTCTAAATACGGCTCACCACGAACCATAAAAACAGGATGCCCAGGAGACTACAGACATTTGATGTTTTCAAGAACAAAAGAGAGTGACGATCTTCAACAACTAACAAACTCAGTAGGCCGGCTCTCAGATTTATCGTAAAGGTGATGTTCTTTTCAACAGAAATGGAATGAATATCACGATCGGATATATGTTGGAAACTTTGCACTAGTCAGGTTTGTTATAGGAATTGTATGTAACAATGGCTACGGATTTCTGTGATTCTATTAGTTAATTCAAATCCATTACTATTTTGCGTTATATTTCCATATTCTTTTCTAACATTTTATTCAAAGAACAGATTTTTAAAGGTGTTTAATATTATCCTAACAAATCCCTTCATACTAGTTTAGTGGCCCGATATCTGACTCCAGTTAGGTCGTATGCTGATTGTTATCGGATTATAAATACCGCCGACCGTCGTATCTTTTTATCGACTTAAATCGCTTTAGTGAATGACGGAATTACATAAGTCGAACACGAGAATGAACTTTGAATACGTATATTTCACACACTTATCGATGCGAACAGACAATCAGAGAAACGAAGTGACGTGCAGTGGAGAAGGAGAGTGAACCAACTCGTTTTGATTAAGCGTGACTCAATATATTCAGACAAAAATAAGTTACGGACATGTGATGAATAAGGTAAGCAATTAACACACACACGATCATATAAAGAAGGGTCAGATTTATAAGTGATTAAATGTGGTTTGAGAAAAACGAATAAATTGGTCTGTCCAGCAGCTAGAATAATCTATGTGGGCTTGACATAGTACTAGCCACTACACTACCATAAGTACACAGAATAAAAATACGGCAAAAAATAGAATATACTGACAGCCTTGAGTTGAAAAAAATCAGAATTAAGATAACTCATGTATTTTGAGCGAAATCTAGAGATCAGTGATAGATAACGTGCATGTCAATACTTACTAAGTCGAAATTGACAATATTTAGTTTGTAAGATGTTTGAAATCGATGAACATATTTCTTATGCAACCAAAAAAGTGAATTTTAGATGGTGCATAATCTAAATTAAACAGCATACCTGCATCAACAGCAGACTGTGTTTCAGAGTAATTGATATCGTTCATTGCATAATCAAGAGTGTTTAATGAAGCTAGATAATCTCTCGTTATTAACTTCACTTTATATACCAACCATAAGTTTCTCGATTTTGTAAACAGGAAGTTAGCATGTCAGTGAATTATGGATGATATCGATTCGTGTTGAAAACTCTGACCCTGAATTATAAATCTAACTCAAAACTCCAGTTTAACTTTTGATACTTAACCCTGATCTTTTTGCACTATAGTTGATGTTAGTTGGTGATGAAAACTCTATGGAGTGATAAACCTAGCCCACAACACTAAACTGACTCCTAATATGTGTGTACATATGTACATATGTAAACTTACCCTTTTTGTTTACCACAAGGGATAGTTTGACTTGTGAATGTTAATTATTACGACCAAAGCTGTTATAACACTGTTATTTCATTATTTTGTATTGTTAATTGTTTTATAATAAAGCACCATTTCCTGATAAATCCCCCAAGGTCGTCAGTATATTATACTCTTACCAAAAACAGTAGTGGTAATAATTAATTAAAGATAATTAAATGATTTTAAATTACTTTTCCACAATTCCAATATAACTTGAGTAATTGTTTAACTCTTCCAGGTACAACGAAAACACGTTTCGATGCTTGAGTTGGATGCCTACAAAGAATACGTTCATTAACTTTTGGAGCATCTTCATACGAACGTTTCATTAAATCCAGTAAAGCTTCACCTACATTAAAACACGGAAAATTGAACTCATGAAAAATTTCGAATAATAAAAAAGGAAAACGCGGATAGATACGATGTCTTGATTGGGTCTTTTAAACAGTGAACGCCTATGTTAGGGTCGATTGAAGTCAAATATGTATAACACTGAATAAATGACTCAATGATATAGTGGCCACTGTGAAACTTTTCATCGATAAGTTATATTTAATGTAGCGTCGTATCTGCGCACTGTTAAAAAGTGTAGAGAAGTAGAAGAAATTAATAATGATAAAATTGAAAAATTCATGAGCATTTAGTCGTCAGTATCTTAATTCTGAATGTCTAGTTAGTGAGAAGATTGAATGAAAAATTAGAACAAGATATTAACAACAAGATAATATCATCCAAAAATTAGACACGTTTTACCGTTCTAAGATACAAAAGGAACTTAATGATGAGAAGAGCTAAGTCTTCGTGTATCAAAAAAAAACTTTATATAACCACTTTCGAAAGTACCATAACCTATAATTTCAGTTAGATGTTAATTCAAGAGACTAGAACACTTTTCAGACGACAGCGCCTTTCCGCACTTGCAGTCTTCTAACTGTAATATAATTTTGTTAATACCTTTTCTTACCATCTATGAAAATTTGACCTCTGAACAAGATAGTTCAAATCACTGAAAAACCCATTTTAACTTGATTAATAAATACTATTTCTAGATATTACTACCTAATCTCCCTCATACTTTTAATTTCGTACCTAACTGTTCATCATTACTTTCATAAATTGTTCTGAACATGTAATACTATTAAAGAATATATCAAGGTACGATTTTACTACTTATAACTATAATAAGTACAATGAAACATTGAGCGAAAACGTCATGAATAGAAAGCGTTTGCGTCAAAAAAAATACGTAGCTCACCTTGCTGACTGTATAAACGATAAACTACTTTTTTTCCTGGTAAAGTAAGCTTTTCAAAATCAGCACTAAGTTTCATTGTTGGATTTCCATTAATTTCAACAAGTTTATATACACATCCTAAGGCTGGTTGTTTTTGACAGGTGACTAAATTTGTTCCAACACAAAATGTATCAATTGAATGATCCTGAGAATAGAAAATACAATAGATCAAAATGCTTTGAATCAATAGGGCAAATAATTAAGCAGCTACTCACCGAAGACAATTGGAGATGATCACGTAACATCGTGGATTGGTTGACTTAAGGCACATACACCATTAAATGCTGGCTCAGTGGTCTTAAGATTAAGCGTTCGCCACAAGACTTGAAGGTCCTGGGTTTGATTACCTGTGGTGGGGTCGTGGGTGAATAGTGTCAAGGAGTTTCGTACTATGAGAAAACAGCTTTCCAGTCTTCCCTAGTATTCAGTGGACAACTAACTTAGGTCAGTCCGCAATATCAATGACGGGAAATACCTAAACATTTGATGATTTGAATAATACCCGAAAAAAGATAATGGACATAACACGTACGAGCTAAAAGTATCAGACTACCTCCAGAAAAATTTACATAGAAATAAAAAATCAATGTACACAAATCAGTATATAAAACAGGTATGGAATTTATTTATGTAAAATGCAGTGTCTGTTTAACGATGAAATATGAAGTAGAATGAATAGGTAATAGAAAATGAAAGCATTTCTTCGTAATTCAATTCTCAAAAGCAATCAATATTGAAGAAAAACAGAAATGGAAGACACAGAGAGAAGAAAATAATGACAACATGTTTGAACCTTAAATTGTTCTGTGATATCAGAAAATAATTACAAGGTTCCAAAGTAAGTTGACATTTTTAAACTTTGCCAAGTCAGCATTTTATGTACTACACATACCAATCTACAACGATCAAAAACAGTTTTCATATGGACATAACTTAATGATGCAAGATTATTTCACATTATTTACCATTGTAACAATAGCTAAAAGTAGCTAGCTCCTATTAATCAGTCGTCTGGGTATATCCACAAGCATTTCGACGAACAATACATCAGCTTTAGTTCTAAGAATTCACAAAGTCGGTCAGTCATCCACAACATAGGACCAGTCACATATGTGCATCGATCCAAGTTACCATACCTCATTAGCACAACAAAATGAACACTAGATTCATAGAAACAGTTACTTCAATGGTAGTAAAAAACATTTCATATAAAGATATGATACAGGGAGAAAGCATTAACTTGTAAAAAAAAAGGCATATAGTAATTTTAATCCCACAGTTTAAGGGAAGATAAAGAGTGTATAAACCGACACCATTGTGATCGATTCTGAGCCATGTCACGCAGTCTCTAGCCGTCCGTTACAATAGTCGGGCGGACCCCAACTAAGTAGTCTGCATCTATCAACATGGCTCAGACCAGAAACTAGTGACTTTCTGGATTGATACCACGTTTTCGTTTGGCCGCCCCTCACTTTCTTCCATCCATCTACAACACCAATCGGTATTGAGCGTCGTGGTAATCGATGTTCAGGCATTTGTAACACATGGCCCAACCATTTCATTCGATGAAGATTTACAATCTCATCAATTGATTTAACATCATCCCCTAATACACTAACCTCACTATTACTTAGCCAGTGATCCCATCAGATCCAAGCAATATTTTTAAGACATCTGTGATCAAGTACTAGTGACTTACGAGTACTCTCTACTCTTAATGGCCATGTTTCGCAGCCGTAAAGTAGAACAGAGCGAACTACTGCGCAGTATACTCGTCATTTAATTGATAGACGGATATCTCGTCTTCGCCATAGGTGACGTAAGTTGGCAAAAGCCAAACGAGTTTTTGGAATCCGTGCTGAGATTTCATCAGACATCAACCAATTAGGGCTGATCAGACTTCCAAGATAAGTGAAGTTGTCGACGCGTTCGACTACTTCACTTCCTATCCTTAGTTCGGGTGTTGATGCAGGCCAGTCCTGAAGCAACAATTTGCATTTAGAGGGTGGGAAACGCATTCCAAACATCCTGGCATTATTGCTCAGTTCTAACAGTAGACTCTGCATTTTGTCAGTGTCTTCACCAAACAGGACTATGTCATCTGCGTATTCTAAGTCGATAAGTGAACCTCCTGGTAGAAGATCAATTCCTGAAAATTCAGTCGGACCCCAACCAAGTAGTCTGCATCTATCAACATGGCTCAGACCAGAAACTAGTGACTTTCTGGATTGATACCACGTTTTCGTTTGGCCGCCCCTCACTTTCTTCCATCCATCTACAACACCAATCGGTATTGAGCGTCGTGGTAATCGATGTTCAGGCATTTGTAACACATGGCCCAACCATTTCATTCGATGAAGATTTACAATCTCATCAATTGATTTAACATCATCCCCTAATACACTAACCTCACTATTACTTAGCCAGTGATCCCATCAGATCCAAGCAATATTTTTAAGACATCTGTGATCAAGTACTAGTGACTTACGAGTACTCTCTACTCTTAATGGCCATGTTTCGCAGCCGTAAAGTAGAACAGAGCGAACTACTGCGCAGTATACTCGTCATTTAATTGATAGACGGATATCTCGTCTTCGCCATAGGTGACGTAAGTTGGCAAAAGCCAAACGAGTTTTTGGAATCCGTGCTGAGATTTCATCAGACATCAACCAATTAGGGCTGATCAGACTTCCAAGATAAGTGAAGTTGTCGACGCGTTCGACTACTTCACTTCCTATCCTTAGTTCGGGTGTTGATGCAGGCCAGTCCTGAAGCAACAATTTGCATTTAGAGGGTGGGAAACGCATTCCAAACATCCTGCCATTTTTGCTCAGTGCTACCGAAAGACTGCATTTTATCAGCGTCTCTACCAAACAGGATTGTCATCTGAGTATTTTGCAGACCTGAACGGATTCGTTAAGCTAGATTACTAGATGGTGACTGGATATAACTGATTTTTTGGCATTATACCGATAAATACCGTCAACCCAACATAATCAATTGAAGCTCAGTATACTTTGTCTTAGTTTTCACTGAAATAATGAGGAAATTTCCTATCATTTCTAACAATATGTTAAATCATATCCACTATTTATATAATGGTGTTTATAGTCAAACGAAACCTGAGTCATAAACAGTGTTTAGCGAATGACTTTTGGGTTGTTGATCTAATGTTAAAACTGAATAGACTACAAGATATCATCAAAAATAACGTCTAATTGGCAAAAAAAAACAACGACTAAACTATAATAGTCAAGTACACTTATGTATTTCTTATTTATGTAACAGGTCGGTAGACTACGAGACTATTGAAAAATAGAAGTCATATTTGTAGTTTACTATTAAAAGGCTGATGAGTACATTATAAAGCTGATAATATTGAGAGTTTTATGAGATATGGAATTATTCATTTTGCATATTAGAAAAAATGCAAGAATGTGAATATAACTGATAGATCTTAACAATAAACATTGAAACAATGAATATTTTCGGTGAAATCGAAAACGATTTCCTGATTACAAACATTGCTCCGAAAGCGCATATTATTGCAAACGTGCGATTCACACTCGCATCATCACTTTTAAAGACGCTACCTCATACAGTAGAGTGAAGTGGTGAACAGCACCCACACACTCCCAGTGATAAGTTTTTCCTTCTGTATATCACTCACGTCTTGAATGGAGTAGGCTGGAAAACGCTAAGAAAGCGTTTTCCAGTTGTTCATAATTCCTCTTAGAAACCAAACTGTAAAGGTTGATGAAGATCTTCGAATATATGAAGTGTTCAATTTACCATTAAACTCAATGAATCAAAATGTAACAAACATTCTTTTTATCATCAGTCATTTAATTAACCAATCTCATCTCTGAATAGTTCTACATACACACTTTGATATAGTCTTCTTTAAAAAATAAGAAATACCGTGCTAGCAAACTACTAATAATAGTTCATTTTAAATTGAATTTCCAAGGTTAAATTGAAGGTTATTACAGTATGTCAAAAAACACTAAGTCGAATTCAAGTACCCTATCGTCTAAACATAACCCATCTATGCAAAGATGAACGCTATTTTTTCTGTTTTGCCTATTAACTACTCAACTACATAGATTCACTCTTAAGAATATGAAAAATCCAGAACACAGTATACGCTCAAAATACAACTTGCATAGATATAAACTGTAATCCAAATCCTTTTACTGAACGACTGTATTGATTATGATACATATTAATCGAAGATAGATACGAAAAAGTTACGTCACTTTTTTTAGTTACTTTGATAAGTATCTTGGGTTTTCAGCTGTCTTAAAGAATCAGCTAGCATGAACAATTGAAATAACAGTAAACAAAAAACTACTCAACACTGACATTTGTCTGCATATAATTGAAACATTAAAAAATGTTGGTTCTCAGTAAGGGGTTGTTGAAATTGATGGATTTTACTGAGATCATGAACATGTCCAAGTTAGACAACCATTGGAAACCTGGAACCACTGAACTCTTATTTTGTCCTAGTAACGCGTTTATTTGAAAACAATTTCACTTTCATCTAACAATATTCATAAATATAAACTAATTTATTTATAAGATTCGCATGATTGACGAAGCAAGAATGTAGTTGACTGAATATTGAGTAGTGACCAATGTCGTATTAGTCTAGTAATTTAGTGCTGGTTGAATTCTATCGATTGGATTGGAGTATGGTCACTGGTCTTAGAGACTTGAAATCTCGTGGATTATGTGGTAAATATTTGACTTTTATGGTAGGTTAGCAGCTAATTGAACGGTTCAAAGGTAATGTATCGAAATTTGAAGTTGAGATAATGCAGGTATAAATTTCTCAAGTTTACAGATACACCTTGGTGACAAATGTCAACTACTACGAAACCTAGATCGAGCGGGGTTTCCTTTTGACCACCTCCAACCACTTAGCGAAGTATGCTTTAAAAGGTGTGAACAACTAACAACCATTCATAAATTCAAAAAAGAAAAAAAAACAGTACTTTTAGAAAAATTACATATAAGAAAATTCTATTTATCTTTTTTTCTTAACAAATCCACATACTTGTTGATTAAAAGAATGTAATGTATCTTCGTTTAAATCATTGCTGGCAAGTATTTGAAGGTGTGCAAACCAAGGTAAATTATAACTACAAGGAATGGAAAAAACAATAACCAAATTACCTTCTGAACTTATTCAATTGATTACAGCAACACTTGTATTATTCACTAATGCCCGTCTGTAGCGACCAATGAAGTTATGAGCATGAACTTGGTTAATTTGGGTAACCACGTAGTAACACTAACTCTTAGACAAAATCTGTTCTTAAAGGTTGAGTAAACCAACTTTTACTATATTTCCAATTCGAATTAATTTAATGAAGTAGTAGTGTAAGTTCTAAATTATGATAGTAGATAACAATATGGAGTAAAAGTTTACTTCAGAGATGAGTCGATCAGGACCGAGAATGAGACTTTTAGGTTTTTGTGAAAAATTAAAACATCATGTATGACGAGCAGTAGAAGTACTTTTAATCAAAAAGCTTAAAATGATTGTAAAAAAATTAATTGAAACCATAGAGTAAAAATAATAATGTTGAACGTATTTAATGCCTAATTTTGTCTCTATAGACTGCATATAATAAGCAAATTGACAATGTCCCTAAATCCTAACCCTAAACCCTTAATCTTGAGACAAACAGCTTGGTGGCACTATATTTTATGTTTATACTAGTCAGATACCGCTTCTTGTATTTTTGAGCGAGATTTATACATCCATATGGCTACAGAGCATTTCTATATAGTAGATTATTTCACTTCGTGACTAAAACCTCAGCCCTAAACCCCTAAGCTTAACTGTGACTTTGAACAATGTATGGACTCTTAGAAATCTATTTGGGTCTTTTTAAACCTTCCAGAAGACGGACAGTTCGTACTCATAAAGGTTAAATTGTTGTCGTTTTTTCCGATTTGCAGAGAGTAAACGGTAAACGACATTAATAGACTGACAAATATGTAAAATCAGTTCACGCTATGCAACATTATTATCCGTTCCATAGACTATCCATTTACAAAAGCTGTTTTCTGATTGTCTAAGAACTGGCTGAAAATTCATCACGATTGTTTTAAGCTCACCCCTAAATGGTACTTTTATCACAATATGAAAAGAGGAATCACAACAATAACATGACCAGTAGTCAGTTGTCAGTTCTAAGCAACGTAGAGCCTCGTACATATAAGGATTGGTTCAAGCTGCCACGCCACATTAGCATAGCGAGTTGAAATTAACAAGACAAACACCAGAGTAGGAGAATTCGGTAAAAGAATCAGAGGCAACAGGAAAAAATAAGTATAAACAATATGATTCAAGAAGAAAGGATGCCTACATGAAATTAAAGGAAATATAAGGTAGTTTTAAAACCAAAGGTCCAAGGTAAAACAAAAAATGAGTGCATCTATTTTATTATAACCGATTTCAAGCATTCAGGTCACCTAATTTCTTCAACCACTGGTTGCAATAATCACGCAGACCCCGAACACGTAGTCTTCACCTATTAACATGGCACCATTGTTTTATGGGCTGATGCTATGTTTTGGTTTGACGGCCCTTAAATATCTTTAACTTCTGCATCAGCAAACATCACGCACCGAGGTGGGCAGTAATTAAGTGTACCGTGAAACGCTAGAAGTACTCTTATGTTGGTAATAATAATAATAAACTTTGATGAACATGAAGAAAAAATTTAGATGCTTGAAGTACTAAATCATAGTTCCGAAAAAACTAAAATATAAATGATATTTTTATAAAACACAGAAAAGTATCAATTAATTTGATTGAATCTACTTACTGTGAACTGATTAGCTGAAACGCATTACGAATTGTCAATGACAAGTAGGCTATATCACCGCTATCAATACGTATACCAATGGCTTGATAGCCAAATTCATGAAGAGCTAATGCAACTGCACAAAAATTTGGTAAACCTGATCTACAAGTTGCACACAAAAAAATTTACCATAAGTAACCTAAATGTGTTACTTCGACTCATTCTAAGACTAGATAGTCTTTCAAAAGCAAACAAAAAAAGATGTAAATGATTCACTATATCATAGGACTGTTAAACACCAAGAGGGAATCCTACAGACATTTAGAAATTAGCTCGGCGAATATATCACACTTGACCTATTTGATTTTAATGATTCAATTACTGATGTCAATGCAACCGCAAAGAGAATGATATCATTGGATGTAGGTTTTACTTTCTACAAATGTTCTATCTTATATCTTGTAAATAATAACCTCGATACTGGCGTTCCAAAACATAAGAAACTTCTCCTACAATGTACCTTCAATTTCCAGTTTAGATTTAATAATAAGTTCTATAGACAAAATAATAGGATTCACCACTAAGTCCTATTCAAGAGTACTTTTTTTGGTTAATCTGGAGAACACAATGCTTCGACCGACAATTAAGAGCTTTTATTTATGCAGATGTATGGATGATAAGTTCATCATTAGTGACTTCAATCTTATTGTGGATAGATTCAAAAGTTGTTTTTTTCAGGAATTTCACACAACTGATTCCCTTTATGAAATTGAATAAATCCAGACCAAACATTGATGCAGACTAATATGGATTCCCTATATTTCGTGGTTTCTCATCAGCTGCTTATAACCATATATGTGTTGAAAGTTAACATTGAGGTACGATATAATGTGAAACAATTGACTTAGATGAAAGAAAATCAGAATGACCAAGGCTACCAATAATATATATATATATATATATATATATATATATATATATATATATTCTGAAGCTGTCATCAGTCAGTGAAATTCACAATAAAAACAGAGGTGAATTAGGAATTTTATTTTCTTGATGTCCTATTAAAAATTCGGCTACATGATTCGTTACAAAGATTCATACATAAAAAACCAACTTGACATTGTCAATATACGAATTTTCAAAGCTGAATTCCATTAAGCAGAGAAAGAACCAGTTCATTCTCTACTTTTGAGAACTAGGAAAACATAATTCTGATATACAATGAAAGATGAACTACTCTAACACCGACAAGTAACCATCAAAAACCAGCTACCCGCCCAAGCTTACTGAAGGAAATCTGAAATTAAAACTACAACCTTAAAAACAACATCTACAGCTCTAAAGAAAGTTCTCTTTTTGAAAAAAAGATAGTGCAGCAGAAAGTTTGCAGAATAGGTTTGCAAATATTTGAGAAAAACATTTGTGATGGGAAATTGAAAAATAACAACCAAAATTCGAGCAAATCGGTAGTGAAACATTTTTCTGATTGTATTAATCGAAACACCGAACATATCACTACTATTGCAGGACAAGGAGGTGGACAGAAAGAATGCTTATTGAGAGAAATTATAGTGCTCATATAATATATGTAAATACCCTTCGATCATCTTGCGGTATGTTCAGAAATCCATACTATCTTTTCTTCTGGCTTTGAAGTGTTCTACCTATGCCATGCTTTTGCAATACCGAAACTCTTCTCTCCATCTGACTACTGTGACAGCTATGACGCCACGTACCACTACATACTGTTAACCATTAGTCTTGCTAGCAGTATTCGCCATATCTATTTACTTATTTCAACAAATAAATATTGGCACAAAGGAGCACAAAATACATATGCGCCGAACAAGTCAATTGATTTGTGTGGGGGCTGTGATAGTACCCGGGCGCCCAAACTGAAGCAGGTGGTTTTATTAGGGAGCCACACTCGGAGCCTTTGACCTAAAGGTTTGATCCACAAGGCAGTGGAGCATCGTAAGGAGATGCAGTCTCATGGTAGCCGGTGACCAACAACAGGCTCATACGCCATTCATAAACATAAATTAGCAATGAGGTGATATGATGTACTATCACCGATAATAATTAAGGCGGACAACCATGGACACGCATTTGACTGGGGAAGTCAGTGATCTGGATCAGGAGAACTAGGAATCACAGAGGACTTCTAGAACCCAATGTATGAACTTATACGGAAGAGGTCAGTTAGTCAAAAATTCAGGGGATAATAAATAAAGACAGCATGAATATAATGGTGGATGAAGACAAAACCTACGAAGACAGACAATCAAAAACAGGACTGACAGGACGAAGTGATATGACACATGTAAAATGATTGAAATAAATCTTTTATATATAAATTTCCCCCAAATGCCCTGGTACGACCTAGAGTGAGGAGAGTCCGCTCTCCCTCTCGAAATGCTCTCACATGGCCACGCGTATATAGCCTCTGCCAGAGAAGTCCTACCCACTGCCTTCTCGTGGCGGGGGTGTTGTTCACAAAATTGAGAGGACGGAAAGCAAATGTCCGGCGATTTAAGCGGGTTGGTGGACACGGAAAGTCCACCTAGGGGAGTTGGAAAACCCTGATTCCACACAAATGGTGCACATTGGCTCCAGTATCCTGAGGGAACAAGTGGTGTATTGATCAAATGTTGGTCACCGGCTATCGTGGGACTGCATCTCCTTACGATGCTCCACTGCCTTGTGGATCAGATCTTTAGGTCAAAGGCTCCGAGTGTGGTCCCCTAAGAAAACCACCTGCTTCAGTTTGGGCACCAGGGCAGTAGTATTCCAGTCCTCACACAAATTAAATGAGATTTGTTTAGCGCATATGTATCTGGTGCTTCCTTGTACCAATATTTATTTGTCCAAATAAATAAATAAATAAAATGTGTATAAATTATGCGCCAAATATAATGACAATCAAAGCTCCGCAAATGAACGATGTACCTCATAAAATACAACACCAAACATATATATACATAATTTGTTGTATGGATTCCACTGTTAGCTTCTATTCCAAATATCACTACAGATTTTAAATCCTAGTAATACTGAAATAAATCCAGAAAGAAAATAAAAAATAAATTTAAATTTAAAACAAAAAAGAAACATACTTTAAGACATCATATGTATCAAGTAAGCCAAGAAATTTCGTCGGAAATGCAACAGCATAATTGGCAAACGCATTTAATTCACCTGGATGTATTTGATCTGATTGGTATTTTAATACACGAGATAAACTAGCGGACCAATACCAACAGCGTTTCAAAAATTCATCCAATTTCAATGGTTGACGGTTTAAATCTAAAAGGTGATCATCATATGAGTTATTTAAATCGGCGGCTTCTCTCTTGAATTTTCCGAAATCATTTATACATTCCCCTTCCTTAGAGCGAAAAGAAACATTTTAACTTTAGGAATATACAACCATAGAGAACAATTATTGTTCATAATCTAATTATGTATGGTCACAATCTCTGATGGTCCCAATATATAAGAAGGGGCCAAAATCATCCTGTGATAACCATAGAGGGATTAGTCTGGCTAACATAGCATCTAAAATACTAGCCTCAATAATTATCGGGCGCCTAACTAAGACTCGTGAACTGCAAACACGAGAAAATCAGACATGCTTATCGGCGTCCGACATTGATAGTTTTTCTTGACTTGAAAGCAGCATTTGACTCTGTAGACCGAGAGGTTCTGTGGCAGTGTCTGTCATTGAAAGGTGTACCTGAGAAGTACATAAACCTTTTGAAGGCTCTTTACTCGAACACTATTAGTCGAGTGAGAGCTTATGGCGAACTGTCATATGATTTTACAACCTCAAGTGGTGTCCGTCAAGGTTGTCCACTATCCCCATTTTTGTTTAACTTCATTATAGACCTGTTGCTGGAAATAACATTCTCGTCGACTGAATTTTCAGGAATTGATCTTCTACCAGGAGGTTCACTTATCGACTTAGAATACGCAGATGACATAGTCCTGTTTGGTGAAGACACTGACAAAATGCAGAGTCTTCTGTTAGAACTGAGTAATAATGCCAGGATGTTTGGAATGCGTTGCCCACCCTCTAAATGCAAATTGTTGCTTCAGGACTGGCCTGCGTCAACACCCGAACTAAGGATAGGAAGTGAAGTAGTCGAACGCGTCGACAACTTCACTTATCTTGGAAGTCTGATCAGCCCTAATTGGTTGATGTCTGATGAAATCTCAGCACGGATTCCAAAAACTCGTTTGGCTTTTGCCAACTTACGTCACCTATGGCGAAGACGAGATATCCGTCTATCAATTAAATGACGAGTATACTGCGCAGTAGTTCGCTCTGTTCTACTTTACGGCTGCGAAACATGGCCATTAAGAGTAGAGAGTACTCGTAAGTCACTAGTACTTGATCACAGATGTCTTAAAAATATTGCTTGGATCTGATGGGATCACTGGCTAAGTAATAGTGAGGTTAGTGTATTAGGGGATGATGGTAAATCAATTGATGAGATTGTAAATCTTCATCGAATGAAATGGTTGGGCCATGTGTTACAAATGCCTGAACACCGATTACCACGACGCGCAATGTTGACTAGTGTAGGGGACGGTTGGAAGAGAGTTAGGGGTGGCCAAACCAGAACATGGCATCAGTGCTTGAAGTCACTAACTTCTAGTCTGAGCCATGTTGGTAGATGCAGACTACCTGGTTGGGGTCTGTGTGACTATCGTAACCAATGTTTGTAGACTCTGTGACATGGCTCAGAATCGATCACAATGACGTAGGTGTATACACTCATTATCTTCCCTTAAACCTTAAGATTAAGATCGCTTCATAACTTTCTTCCTTCCTATACTATATCCTTATATACAACCTTTCTTTATATACTACCACAACTAAATTAATTACTTCTATGAATCCGGTGTTCATCTTGTTGTGCTAACGAGGTATGGCAACTTGGACCGATGCATATATGTGCCTGGTCCTACGTTGTCGCTGACTGATGTATAGATAATTCTGTTGAACAGGAAATAATTATCGTAACTCAAAAGGCAAGACTAATGTATTAACCACTAAGTGTTTGAAACGACAAAAGTTATTAAAGTTACGGTGAGGGAATTAACATTGACTTTATTCCAGCTGATACTAACCATTGGTTGTGACAAATAAAAGGTACATTATTTATTTATTTAAACACATATATATTGGTACAAAAGGGCACCAGGTACATATGCGCCACACAAAATAATGAAAGTAGGAAGAGAAGGGATGAAAAGATAAGGCGGACTGAAATGTACAACCAGAAGACTCTTTCAGTTAAGAAAGTTAGAACCACTCTTTATGTAGAAAGTAAAAGAAGGTTGCAGCAGGATCGCCACTGGCTTCTATTCTGAGCCATATCTGATAACGTCTCTAGCCACTGTGTTGCACTATCTCTCGGACTCCAGCCAGGGAGTCGTGAAGGACCAACAGAAGCTAGCCCTTTGCAGCTTTCTTTCATACCACGACACCATGTCATACACTGACCTCCTCTCCGCTTTCTCCAACCAGTCCCAGGGTCGGCAAATAATGCACGACGTGGAAGTCTCTGGGACGACATTCGTAAAACATGTCCAAGCCACCAAAGTCGCTGTTTCAAGATGGTGACACCAATTGAATTATCGTCTCTGTGCCCGAACACACGATGCCGAACCTCTGCATTACTAACATGGTGTTGCCACTGAATGTCAGCAATCCTTCGGAAACAACGATAATCGAACACAGAGAGTCATCTAACATCCTCAACTCGGAGAGGCCAGGTTTCACAAGCATAGAAAAAAACTGCTCTCACCGACACGTTGTAGATCCGACCTTTTACAGCCAGACTAACATCACGAAGGCGCCAAAGATGGCCCAGATTGGCATAAGCCGCTCTGGCTTTCATTATACGTGCATCAATCTCATCACTCACGCCACCACCAGTACTTATGTAGCTACCTAGATACACGAACTTCTCAACTACTTCGATCTCCTCACCATCCAGGGTGAGTACAGGATGAGAATCCTGCCAGTCTTGTAGGAGTACTTTGCACTTGGAGGGTGCAAAGCACATGCCGTACCTGCGGACACTGATTGCCAACTGATTAAGTGCGGATTGCATGGCTTGAGCATTATCGCACAGTAAGACAATGTCATCCGCATACTCAAGGTCGAGAAGTCGTTCTCCAGGCAACATATCCACACCGCCATTACTTGCATCCATCAGAGCTGTTTCCAGGATGTCGTCAATGGCAAAGTTGAAGAGGAATGGTGAGATCGGGCAACCCTGCCTAACCCCACTGCTCGAATTGAACAAGGGAGAAAGGTGGTTGTATGCCCTCACTCTGCCTGAGGTGTTCGTATGCAGGGCCTTTAAGATGTTAATGAACTTCTCAGGCACACCCTTCTTCAATAGACAATCTCAGAGAACAGTCCTGTCCAACGAATCGAAGGCCGCCCTGATATCAAGAAACACTACGATTGTTGGCCTGCGATAAGTATGACGGTGTTCTAACATTTGGCGGAGGGTGAAGATGTGATCAATGCATCCTCGACGAGAACGAAAACCAGCCTGCTCCTCGCGAGTCAATCGTTCTCGGGTTTTAAACAACCTACGAAGAATGATAGAAGCCAATAGTTTGGACGCAATCGAAAGTAGACTTATCCCCCGATAGTTATTGCAGGAACAACGCGAACCCTTTTTAAAGATAGGGACGACTATCAACTCATTCCATGATGTTGGAACACTTTCTTGTTCCCAAACCTTTGCAAACAACACAGTCAATTCCTTAGTCAGAAGGTCACCACCATCTTTAAAAAGAGCCGGAGGTAAGTCATCTGGGCCCGGTGATTTGTAACGTTTCAAGAGTTGGAGTTCCTTGCGGACTTCCGCCTCGTTTGGTGGATAAGTCGTCACCGGCCACGGGGGGCAGGACAAGCTGGTTGATGTTGCCGGAGCAGCAGGCCAGTTGAACTGCCCTTCGAAGAATTCCGCCCATCGTCCAAGACGTCGAGAGATATTAGTGATTGGCATCCCATCATCCTCGTAGATTGTTTCACTCACACCAGACTTCTTGCTGCCAGTGGCTCGGATGAGTTGGAAGAGCTTCCGGCAGTTACCAGATGCAGCTGCTGCTTCCATCTCATTAGCACGCTCCGATCACCAGGCTTCCTGGTCCTTACGCAAGCTTTTCCCGATTTCATTACGTAACAACCTTCGTTTGTGGTCAAACTCACGGTCACCCAGAGTAGACCGACGGGCTTCCATCAGTTGTAAGGAGCCAGAAGAAACCCAGTGCTTGTTAGCGGGACGTTTCGCGAAGCCGCAAGCGGCTTTACTCGCCATTTTCATGGCGTCATGAAGATGCAAGCAATGCTCATCTATACTTTTCGGTGGGATGGTAGCTAGCCTAAAGGCTAGCTCCGCTCGATACTTACTTGCAACAGAAGTTGCAGCCAGTTTACTAACATCGATCCGTTGGTGGTGGTCAATCCTTCGGCCACTGAAAAGTGAGGTAAGATTGGCGCAGACCAGGGCATGATCAGACTCCAGATAGGTATTCCAAAAGGAGCGGCAGTCTTGTACACAACCACGCCAGCGGTAGCTGATCGCGATGTGATCAATCTGAGTCCAGGCTTGGGATGCAGAGGGAGGACGCCAGGTGGCACACCGGTCCCCGTTATCTGTCCTGCGACCAACAAGTCCTCATCGGCCACCTAAACGACTCTCTTCTGTGCCTAGACGCCCGACCTGTGCATTCAAGTCTCCGGCTAGTACTACAATATCTGTCGAACGCGCTTTCTGGAGAAGAACTGTTAACTGATGGTAAAACTCATCTTTGGTTGTGACAAATAAAAGTGTGTATTTTATATCCTATAATTGAAATTCAAATATAAAGTAATTGATGACAATATGATAATGTCGTTCAGGAGAACGATGAAAGCTCCACGACCAAACTGTCCAGCTCATAGAACGAAACTCCATCAAAAAGATGATAATATCAAAGAGCTCTTTATCGGTAGCCAAAGTTCACATGCAAAGTACTTTGTTACAGATGAAAAAAATTGTGATGTACAATTTTCTCTCGAAATGCTCTAACTGTTACCACAATAGTCTTCAAGTAATAGCAATTTTTCTAGTAAAATTAAAAAGACACAGAAGTAAGGCAGAAACCTACATTTAGTAAGTTAATACGATTGCTTTACAGAGATTAATAAGAGAGACTAGATTTGGTACCGATAGCGCATATATGCTCTTAGCTCAAAAAGTAGGGATGTATGAATGTGCTACAAGCACCGGTCACCATGAGAATAACAAACATCTCAAATCAGCTCTCCTATCTTATAGATCGGATATCAGAAAGGAGCACTCGAAAAAGATTGTTTGAGACAACTGTCTGATTCCATTTCCGCTGCTAAATGGTATGACAATTCATACGGTAAAAATTCATTTACAATGTTTCGTGAAATAAAACTTGTCACATATAACCGTTTTGACATAGACTTGCTACTTACATGGGAAGATTGAAAAGCTGACACGAATGAATGTGCATGTGTCCCAACAACTGGAATTCCATATATTTTCCCAGATAAAACATTACTAGTTCCATCATAACCTGTAGTAAAAAGTATGTGGATATAAAGCGAAACGATTTGCTTGGTAAAATATAATTTAGATTATGAAATGAAAGTAAATATTTTTTGTAACCATCAGAAATATCAAGGCTGATCATAAAAAATAAATTTGTTCAGAATCTATTATTTGTGATCCAATTTATTCATTACAACCACTACTTGAGGTTAGCGAAACTTGAAGATATAACAGATGCACGTGAATAACCAAATATTCATATTATCGACACATATTTGTTTTAAATAAGTGGTCAAATTTATAGTAACCGATGTCACCTTGTTTATCCCTCAATATGGATGAAATGCTATCGATAACGTGTCAGGATGACCTAACTACCACAATGAAGTGATCAGAATTACACCTTGGAAACTTCCGTTCAGGCAACCTGTCTTCATACAACAAATATGACTTAAATCCTGGCATACGAATCTGTGTACTTGACTATTGAGCTGAATCATATTTCATTACGTAAATATTGTCCTAAATAATTTATGGATCAATGAGTAATTCTATTCTGTTGAAAAGCTATGAATACTAATAACATCGAACCCCTCTTCAACATTCGAACATGTAGAACGAGAATAATAGTAATAATAATAATAATAATAATAATAATATCAGTGACATAATGACAACAATAATAAATAACCATACCTCCTAAATATGCATACTTTGAAGCTGAGAGTGCACCATCTGGTCCTTGAGCACGACGTAAACCAAATTCATATAATCTTTTACTTGGACCACAAGCCAAACGGTAACGGGTAGCATTCGTAGTCACTAGGCTACAGATAAAAATATATGCGTGTACATCGATAAGATACTTAAAAACTACTACTAACAGTCAAAATAGTATTGAAATCGGAGTTTGGAACTTGAAAGCCGCAAAATTGTAGTTTATTGAAGTATAGATAAAGGCTTGCCTCCAACAGATTTCATTTTCGTTGATGAATAGCGTAATTAACCAAAATATGAGATATCTAAATATCGGAGACAGAAAAAAGGCTTTTTAAATTTTTTTACGTGGATCAATCCCGTTCAGAGTCGTTTATGTAAAATAAAAGCCCTGATTTTCAGTATTTTTAGAGTTAAATAATCAAGAAATCTATTTTTATTAATTTAAAAGGTTTTTAAAGATCGGTGAGTTATATAGTTTATACCACCGACTGATCATAGGAAGAAAATTAATAAAATCAAGAAGTCTTGGACGTGTCTCGTCCTGGTACGCGACTCCTCAACACTACGTACCCACGACCCCACCAAAGGGGACTAAGCTCGGGACCGTCAGGTCCCGCTGCGAGAGTTTGACATTCAGACTCCTGAGTTGGTTTCTGATGGTTAACATCTCTGGCTTTCACCAATTAGCTATACTGAGCAATCGTCCTCCAATACGCTCGTGGGTAATTATATCATATTCAACACGGTTCAACTCCACCGCTCACTGATGGGTATTCTGGCCCCTGGATGAAACAGCTGTACAACGTCTCCTGGTTTTAAATGGTTGTTTGACTAAGGTCAGTTATTGATGTAAACTGTGCAATCTATTTATGTCCACGACAATTATGTTGCGCTAAATATTTGAACTTGGCTTCTGTGATTAGTTCAAAGACGCTGCGTGCATAGTTACGGATAAGTATTACCGAATTTCTCAGTCCTGCATGAATTTCAATGGTTCTCCAGTTGAATCGATAAGTGTTAGACCACGACTGGAGAGCTGGAAGCACTGAACGGCCGTTTCGTCTTAGTATTGGACTCCTCAGCAGTGTGCATCCATAACCACCCACGCAGGATTCGAACTCAGAACCTTTGGTCTCGCGCGCTAATTCGTGTCAGGTAGAGACAGGTACCTACTTCAGACAATGGAAGATGGTCACGCAGTTTTGTGGATTGGTTGGAGTCAGACATTAACACCGTTGGATGCCGGCTTAGTGGTCTAGAGGTTAAGCGTTCGCCCGCAAGACCGAAGGTCCTGGGTTCGAATCCCATGTGAGTGGTCTTGGGTGCTCACTGCTGAGGAGTCCCGTACTAGGACGAAACGGCCGTTCAGTGCTTCCAGGTTTTCAATGGTGGTCTAACATTCATCGGTTCATGATCTCAATCAGAAGCTTAGCAATCTCCACAACCTCACACTGAAAGTTATCGAATCAAACTACTATCCATATACACAAACCTGACTAAACAGACTCTGTTTATAATCTCAATAAAAAGCCTGTGACGAGTTATATAATCCCTTGAATATCTTTTGAAACATATTATATACTACAAACCAGTCGTAAATATCCCTAATATCGACAAAACACTAAATGTTCGTGTATATTAAGGTGAGCAGTGGCTTATTGGTCAAGGTATTCAGTATTCAATAGCTAACATGTAAGATGAAACACTTCTACCTCACTTCGGCGTATCAGTAAGTTGTAAGAAAATTAGGAGCCAAACCATAACGTAGCATCAGTTCATAGAGTCAATGGTTAATGGGCAGAACCAAGTTAGAAGATGAAAACTACCTCCTTGAGGTTCGTGTAACTATCGTAACCAACGGTTGCACATACTGAGTGATATGGCTCAGAATCAGTCATATTATCGCAGAACCATTTACTCCTTATTTTCCTTTACATCTCCAGTTCCAGTATTATCTTTTCGTTTTGTCTTTTAAAACTATATTTTCAATGTTCCGTCTTTATAATTATTACTACTAATATATCACTTAGATTTATTAATTATTCATCACGTTAACTTCATCTCGCCTGGCTAATGTGGTACAGCAAATGGGGTGACCCAGGTGTAAACCAGGCTTTATATTCATTATGACTGTCTGTCTGTTTCATGCACCATGGTAGTGCCAAAGTATATATATTAAAGTGGAGTACATGAATCTACAATTGAAATAGGAGATACATCAATTAATCATAACAATGAAATGATAATGAAATAAGATACGCATATATTAATTACCTTGCATAATTAACCAAATTCAATAATGTTGATTCTACAAGTTGACATAATACTACTGGTCCTTCAACTCGCATAATAGGAACTTTTGGAAAAACAACTGAACATTCTTTAACAGACCATAACGATAATCTCTTTGTATCAATACTAAGCAAATAATCAAAGAAATCAGGATCAACAGTTGATGGCATAACTTTTCGCAAATAATCAATATCTAATGTTATTTAGAAATATAAAAGAAAAATTGATGTGATTTATAGTTTATTGCAAAATACTAGTAATACATTTTAGGAAAAAAAGATGAATCAACACGTAATATATTACTGTAGTTAGTATGAACGAACTTTGGAGATTAAGTTTCAAAGTTTACCGGTTGGACTAACCTAGGACAGACAATCGATGAGGACCATGAGGCACTGGACAGCTGGTGTATTCTAGTATGGAACCCTTCAGCAATGCTTTATATATATATTCGTTTATTGAATTCAGTTGGGGTCGATGTATTATTTTCAGTACTTTTTGAGCTATTACAGTACTTTTGTCAATTAAATATTAATACCGAACATGAAATACATAAAAGAGCACCCATAAATCACGTTTATTTCAAGAGATAGCATAACATGAAATGTAGAATTTTAATCTGCCTAGGTAAATTCTGTTCCACTTACCATCTTGAGTGAACTTAAACGAACTTAAATAATCAATGCAATCTTGAAGACCAGCAAAAATAGTGAACTCTCCATTGAAAGGATTTTTACGAAAAAATATTTCAAAAGTTGCAGTATCATTGGCTTTTTCAGCTTTCCAATAAGCATATGACATTGTTAATTCATAGAAATCTGAAAGGAGAAAATACTTATTTTGGGACAGATAGACAAACTAAATCATGGGAATATAGTGTGAAAGGGTTAAGGGGAAAAACATGCATGAAGTAATACTGCAAGAGAGAATGATAAAAAGTAAATTCACTCGCCACGAGAAGGTAGTTAGTAGGACTTCCCCGACAGTGGTTGTATTCATGTGGCCATGTGAGAGCACTTCGAGAGAGAGAGCTGACTGTCCCCACCCTCGACTGTAGGAGGGATGCATTGAGGACTATTCTGAATCCTCATCCTGTTATGTCCCGATAACAATAGTGAATGGTAACTTTGAGATCTATTTATGAACCAATATTATGCGTATATTTTTCATCGTATAATCGCTAAATAACTAAAGTATTCATATTCGTGTCCCTCTTGTCATGAGCTTTATTTTGAACTATGAACTATTGTTATACGATTTACCATTCATAAATTACACCCAGTCAATTGATTACTGTTCCCCTATTCACCGTCACATTTGGCTAAATCTTGTACATATGTTATTTTCTAATTTATGGTACAATGTGGTCCATAAGCATGGGATATAACAGGGTGCTTAAATAATTCCTACTTCTATGCTAGAATCTATTAAGAGTTGAGGGAAGATATAAACCATTTGTTATAATGACAGTAATTTGATGTTTTTGTGTACTTTTTCCGCATTAACTTATACTGTCAAAACAAAAAAACATTGCAATTAATTGCTAATTGATAGGAAACTACAGGTTAATATTTATATAATTAGACATAACAGGATAGAATGAGTTCCAGAAGCATCTTACCCGTGAAAATCGGTTGCACTACACCAAAGTGAGATGCCATTTCTTGTGAGATTTATTAAGAATAAGTATTCCTTTAATTTCAACGAAAGGTTATTCTGTATGAAGTGCACAAACTAGGTTAAGCATAAAATAACATATTAGCTAGAATATGAAACTGAAATATAAAAGTAAAACAAGAATGTTAAATAGATGTATGTACATATATGTACAAGAACGTACATAATTGATTACAATAAAAAAATTTACAAAATATTTACCAAAATAAATTTATAAACACAACGAAGGTCTCAGAACTAGGGTGAAATTAATTGGTTTTAGTTAGTAAGTTTAACATTCAAATCCACCATTATTGGAAGATATTAAAGTTTCAGCAACATCTACAAAACACTTGGTAAAACAAACAAATTATCACTGACCCACTAGATACATCGAAATAGGTAAAGATTTTTGTTGTCAATATGTAATTACAAAAAGTTGGTCTTGATAATATAAACTAGTTTGCACCATATCTTAGATATGTATTATATACTAAACGATGACATGCAACTCACTAATCAAGAGAAAGACAACCTAAGTATTATGAGCTACAATCAGATAAATAGGGTAACAAATAATGCCGCAAGGTTACGATAGACAAATGAACAAAAAAATACATCTGTGATACATACAGAGACACCTGAAGTACTCCAGTCACAAGGCCTACAATCTCTGGCATCTTTCACATCAATAATCAATAACTGATGGTTAGTATTATTGTATCGTTCCAGTTGAGCTTTACTTTTTTTCAACCGGTTATAAATTTTGTTCCACTGTACCAAATTTGACTTAAGAGACAACAGCTAAGTCAAGTTTCTCGGGAAAAATTCCCAGTAAGAACTTTGTCAGTTAAATATCACTGACTCATCCACCCTCATAACGTCACAAGTCTCAATATAAATAAAATCTTTGAGGTACGAAAGGTTATACGAAAACGAGGAAGCTCATGAGCTTTGAAAGAAAGGAAGTGAAATAACCGGATGATTCAGTCTATCCAGTGCCAAAAGGTGTGAAAATAAGTCTAGTGATTAATTTGAAGTATTTGAGTCGGAACAGGCATATTATCAATATTACTGAGTTACCGTGAAAACTCGCAGTGATGTGAGGACTATTGTTATTGACCCACCAGCTTCAGTCAGCCAAAACGAAGAACTTCGTACGTAAGCATATCAGTTCGAGTTGCCATACCACATTAGCACAGAGATGCAGTTGTCGATTCAAAGCCCCAAAATTCCCTGGTACGGCCGATAGTGGGGAGAGTCCGCCTTCCCTCTCCAAATGCTCTCACATGGCCACGCGTATATAGCCTCTGCCAGAGAAGTCCTACCCACTGCCTTCTCGTGGCGGGGGTGTTGTTCACAAAATTGAGAGGACGGAAAGCAAATGTCCGGCGATTTAAGCGGGTTGGTGGACACGGAAAGTCCACCTAGGGGAGTTGGAAAACCCTGATTCCACATAAATGGTGCACATGGGCTCCAGTATCCTGAGGGAACAAGTGGTGTATGAATCAAATGTTGGTCACCGGCTTCCTTGTATCAATATGTGTTTAAATAAAAAATAAAAATCACATACTTATTTATTTAAACACTTAAAATTAGTACAAACGGGCACCAGATACATATGCGCTAAACAAATCTCATTTAATTTGTGTGAGGACTGGAATACTACTGCCCTGGTGCCCAAACTGAAGCAGGTGGTTTTCTTAGGGGACCACACTCGGAGCCTTTGACCTAAAGATCTGATCCACAAGGCAGTGGAGCATCGTAAGGAGATGCAGTCCCACGATAGCCGGTGACCAACATTTGATCAATACACCACTTGTTCCCTCAGGATACTGGAGCCCATGTGCACCATTTATGTGGAATCAGGGTTTTCCAACTCCCCTAGGTGGACTTTCCGTGTCCACCAACCCGCTTAAATCGCCGGACATTTGCTTTCCGTCCTCTCAATTTTGTGAACAACACCCCCGCCACGAGAAGGCAGTGGGTAGGACTTCTCTGGCAGAGGCTATATACGCGTGGCCATGTGAGAGCATTTCGAGAGGGAGAGCGGACTCTCCTCACCCTAGGTCGTACCAGGGCATTTTGGGGCCATAGTCGTAAAAGTAGTAAAATTATAGGCAGTAATCGGAAAGATTGGGGTTTGAAGATGTTATTCAAGGAATATAATCCAGTGAAATAAAGTTGGAAAGAGAAAAGGAGAAAGGATCATGAAGAATTCAGAAGATTAGAATTTGGGAGAACACAAAGAGTGGATGTACCTTTACTATTGCAAACGATTTTGAGCCATGTAATTCAAGGTCCCTAACCCTCTGTTGTTGTCATCTCGCGGATTTCAACTAGGAAGTCTACACCTACCAACATGGCTCAGTCAACTTGTCAGTGACTTCATAGATTTGTGCCACATTTTGTTCTGGCCGCCCCTGGCTTCCAACCCATTCCTACACCTACACCCGCCTGCTTACACAGTGGTTACTAAAAATCTTAAAATGTTTTAGTTAATCCATAATATTCATTTGCTTAAAGACCACGATGTTTGTAACAATATAAATCTGATATTTACTCATAACTGCTATAGTACATACCATCGAGTATTTCTTTGTCAAGAAACTTTTATATTGTTTACTATAAAGAAAGTGGGGGAGAAGACAGGACTCTAACAGTAAACAAAACTGGTATAGGAGTAATAAATTAGCTAAAATTGTTCTCATCACGTGGAGGGATACTTTGGTTGGTGATACAGTTCTGCCAAAAACCATCTTCAGTGAGAAGCCGAATAATCATCCATTAATTTATGAACTAGTTTAATTCAAACAGATAAAAGACTAAACAGACATGACAACCAACGAGTCCATCCGCCGACATACCGGACTACCCTTAGCGTAGAGACACAAATTATGAAGCTGTCATTTAGTAACAAAAGACGAGCACAAAAGTAAGCCAACAAATCCTAATCACGAAAAAGGACTCTAGGAGATCAAATTAAAATCCAGATATCTGACACATTCAAGTTCTTTGTAAGGACGTAGTACAAACTAACTGGTTTTTTGGGCTCGTCTGTTTATCCCAAAAGACAGTTTCAGGTCATTAGTAGCCTAGTGACAGTAGCCTAACCACTCAATGGATTTGATGGTCATCTGGAGATTGTTATATTTTCAGTAGAAATGATTATATCTACATCAGAGCTGTAAAGCTGCTAGAACTTGCAGGTATCGAGTTACCTGTCTGGTTGGTGAATGTATAACTAATGAGTATGAGAACGTCTCACCCTGAGTACATATTAGACATCTATTCCGGGCGTGGATAGTTAGCGCTAAAATACGTGAGTACTTAGCCATTTATTAAGGCCGTCCACTGAATAGGTAGTAGTACAATTGGTTGAGACAGTATTTCATATAGGAGACAGACAATTTATTAGTTGTAAGATCGAGAGCTTAATCTGATTTTGGAGAATTCTCCTTGAATTTAGTAATGAGAAGTGATACGATAACACTGACCACTTACTTAGAATTATCAGGTGAAAACATAGCGATAACATAACGAGCAAAGGGAAGGCGCTCACGAAGTCATGTAACGGTGCTAAAAATCACTACATGCGACGCTACTAGTGCGAGTTTGTTTTTCTTATTGCAGAGCAACAAAGAGTAAACGCACTAGGAGAAGAGTAACAAGCCGTACGCGATCTGAACATGTAGAACAAAGAATAAAACTATTTTGTAATAAGTTTCTCTTTTTGTACTCGAACCGCGTCTTTCACTTTCAAAAAATATATCTGTTGTGCCAGTACACCGCGTTTTCACTTCAGAGGCACTTACCGGTCCTGACTGTTGTGTTGTTGTTTCAGATCGCTTCTGCTTCCAAGTGAACGTCAATATATAACGTACTACAGCAAAAACACTTATAGGTTGCGCCAATTAAATCGTGGAACTAAAAGCAACGGGATTGGTGAAACAAATTGCAGCTGCATTCACGCTTCAGAAATCCTTGGATTAAGTATTTCTACGAAGGTTCAGGTCCTCCTTTAAAAGTGTTCAAGTGGTTGTGAAAGGAATAGAAAAGCTTCCTCTTAACGAGCTACCGTATTTGGTAATGTAGCTGTAAATAAATCCCCAAAGTCAATAGCTCATTAAGTGTTCGACATTGGATGCTGACCACGTTGTTTAAATGGACTTGTTTAACTGAAGGCTTTCGGTCATGCATCCGTACCAGATCACTTTTCGAACCAGCGTGGGACACTGCTCCTACGTTCACTAGCCAGCTTAGAATAAACGCTTCTCGATATATTGATAACGTATCAAATATATCTTTCCTAACTCTTCTCGTCTGACTTCTGATTTCCATTGGTTGGAGGAAAGCTTCGTATATAGAAGGTGCTACTGGTAGCAGGTTGTAAAATCAGAATACTAGTCGTATCTTCAGTAACAATGAATCACAAGGAGTCCTTTAAGCTCAAGAATATCTTGACCCAATAAGCGATGGGGTAAGCTTAGAAGAACGGAAATTCTAGACCCCAACTAATAAAGGTTACCTCCTTTTCTTCACAAACAGTGGCTACCACTCTGGAGGCATTTCGTCCCAACAGATTTCGGTTACCAACTGGAATCTTGCTATGTAAGGACACTCTGGAGCGTATCCAACGGCTAGCCACGAAATCAGTTCGGGGACTCAGATTCAGACATTATGAAGAGCTCCTCCAATCACTTAGCCTTTACTCATTACAGTACAGGCGTCTCAGAGGTGACCTAATGGCTTTCAGTATCCTTAACACTTCTCGTCATCCTCTTAAACACCTACTTTAGCTCAGTCACAATACTAACTTAAAGGGTAACACCCAGGAACTGCAGACACAACATAGCAGAACGGACTGTAGACACAATTTCTACTCCTAAAGAGTTGTCGAATTCTAGAGTTCGCTACTGACTGAGCAAGTCCAAGTGACTTCCCAGGAATCCTTTAAGAGGAAACTTGACCTATTCTTTAGGACTAAGGATAACATCTTATTATGATTTACCGATTTCTTTCCTCTATTATCGTTAATATACCAAGGTTTCTGCCTGGAGGTATTGGTGATCCACTGCTATTAGATACGAAAGCTCGTTAAGCGAAAGCTTGTTCTATTCCATCCACAGCCATTGGAACCATTTGAATATATTTCAGTAACCGAATTCACTGGAATATACGGTAGTAATAGACAGTCGAACCAGAATTGGATTGAGTGAATACAAATGGACTGAATTGATAGTAGTGTTGGATTGACACCACATTCGGAACTTTTCATAGTTTGATTTATGTTGGATTTATATTGACACTGGCACTTGAAATCACCAACAATTGTATTACAATGGGAATAACAACCACGTTATAGTGGAGTAAACCAAGGATTGCATTAAAGGGTCATATTCGGACTATACTATCGTACTGGTAATGAAATCCCAAAAACAATAATTTTGTAGGTCTTCGACATTGATGTTAACCTCATTGGTTTTACTGAGCACACTTTGGTTGTAAGAGCTCAGTCATACATCCGCATCACATCTTGATTGAGTATGCACCTCTCACAACGACTAGCCAGGTTAGACTAGATGCTTCTCAACATCATCAACTACCTTCCAAATATAACTCCGAACCCCTTCATTCCTAACTTCTGATTTGACGGGGTAAGTGTCTCTTGATTATACAACTGCTACGGACAAAAGCGTGATCTAACTTTGAATATCCTTGGGCGTTTTTGGTCTCCGTTAGTCAGTGCACCAAAAATATTTAAAAGCAAATATAATAATGGAATACGACCAGTAGATAGGTAGATAGACAAACAGTTAAGCAAAGGGATATTAGATGGATTCACATATAAGACGTTCAAATTATTCACATAACTGGGCAAAAGGTAATTAATAGAATTGGGCTAATGAGATTGACAGTCACACATTCAATGAAACCGTGTTTCAACATACGTATGCCACTATGTTTATCTAGCTTATTCGTACTGAATACCATGAATCCACACTCAGACCCAGATTTTTTATATGGAGAACGGAAGGTCTAAGACATGTTTTAGTCCTTTTCTAGTAAACTTCTGAGTTTCTCATCTTCTCATGAATTAGTCAACTGAAGAGGGAACACCACTTCTTCGAGTAACACGTTCCAAAAATTGATGAATAAGTGTAAAAACCAGTATGCTTCGAGTATTTTGTTCGTTCTTGGCTTTTTTACTCTCCTGTTATGTCATCTAAGTTGTCCTGATCTAGTGGGAAGAAAAGGATCGAATATGTCGGGTCCAAACTCGTTTCTTAGTATACTTGACGTTAAAATCGGATCACTTCTTAATCTGTGATAGGACAGAGTAATGAGGTCTAGCTTCTCAAACCGCTCTTTGTATGGTAAGCTCCGGAGTTCTGAAGTCACACGGGTAGCTGCCCTCTATATTTCTTCCAAGATATCCGAATCACCTTTTAAACAGGGCTCTGTACCCCTTAGCTGTTACCTCGTGGTAGTCGGCCGTGGTTTTATTATCATAATCCACTGTCATCTCGAGATTCTTGTTAGATCGGTCTACGGACAATGAATCACCCCTATATTGTTTCCATTTACCTTTGTATCCTCATTAAATCCACCTAACACAAGGCTTTACACCTGTCTGACAAGGATTTAGGTTTAATTAGGGTGAAGTCATCCACTGGATACCCTGAATTGTGTCACACTACAACTAATTCAATTTCTTGACCCTTACATTTCAGCTGGTAGCGTTCCAGTTCAGATGTCCATAAGTCATGAGACACTATCGACAGCTCTTATGATCAGGGTGTTTTTCATGTACAGAATAACCTCACCACTCCCATGGTTTAGTCTGTTAGCCCTACAAAGTAAGAAATCAAGCAACTGAATTTCACTATCATGCACTTTCGATGTTTCGGAAATGGCAATGACGACAAGGTCTTCTATGTCCACCACGTTTTAAAGCATTTGTATAGTATACCTTTGATTCAATGAAAACCTTTGCCTTACTGTCAAGAATGGTTTTGGGATCGTTCTGCTGCGAAATTTCAAAATATGAAAACATTTGAGTATATGATTTTTCCACCAGCGCTCATTTATTTCTACCTCTGCCTGTCGTCTCTTAATGCGATCAATCAGACTGAGATCCTCACTGCATATCCTCTGGATCCGGTCGGTTTGCGTGAACTTTCCAGTATTATGTCTCTTCATTTAGCGGAAGTAAAAGTATTTTTTAAGAGGCGGCTTGAACGTGTATTTCTTGTAACCCGCTGTTGTTCTACTCTACATAGCTTATGGATGATAAGTCCTGCTGAATTTTTTGAAAGTGGCTTGCGAATAAAGGACTTATTGTGGGTTAGATCGTGTTCAAATCCAGCCTTGATTCCTCTTCAGATAACTCTTTTAGCTTATGAAAAATGACTAACCTCCAGGAGAAATCCATTTTGACGGGCTGTGAGATATAGTTTCCTAAACCTTTCTCATCCGTGCAGTCGGATTTGATGTTATACATTCAGGTCTCACATATTTTTTCTCAATATCTTAAAGTGCTACTTTAGGCTAATGATTGAGTTTACTTAGTTTCTTGACCAAATCATCTACAACGCTCTGTCTTTGCTTCTACATAGCCTGTTTTGTATTGATATGAGAATCTGCAGCTAAAACCATCAAGTCGTATAGATGAGTGCTCCCCTGTAATTTGTTTTCCTCTTGACGTGCTTTTTCTATGCCCTTGTAACCATGACTACATCCGTGTATCTATCATCCACTACGATATGGGGCCCCATCTTGATCGTTTCACTCAAATCTAGAGCTGGACTCATGATGACTCTCTCTGCTTCTCCGAAATCTGACAGCTGGTGACCTGATGCTGCCTGTTTATCCGAGTACGTCATTCTGGCTGCGTTTGATAATTCAGTAGCCTCAAGAATCAGAAGAGACTTTGTAGGACAGCATGCTTTGCACAGTCAACATGGTAGTCTATTGGAACACCCTTTATAGTGCACGCAATTTCTTCGCGAGCTCACAAAAAACCTCTTTAAGAGCTGAAAAAAGAAAACAGATTGCTGGAATAAGTATTTTTAAAGCTCTGAAGGAGATAGACACTGAACACAAAAGCTTGGGAGTTCCGTGTTACTGTGACTGTAAATCGTAACCAAATAAATACAAAAGAAGACTACACCTTGGAGCATGGTCGAAACTAAACGACTAACTCGGTGAAGAAAATACCACAGCCCTTTTCAAATGGCACGTCATAGCATGTATACGGACAGGCCAAATGATGCAAGGATTTACACGATAGCCAACTGTAGCTGGCTTTTCCAATAGCTGTTTGTTATGAATGAAAGGACTTGAAAAGAACGGAGACCATACATTAGCAAAATCTGGCGTAGGCAGGTTTCTTAACCATTCACAAACGACAAAACGGCACATCCTTTTTTCCAATAGAAAGCATCACCTAATAAGGTCGGCCTCAGTGTTGAGTACTTGCAGAACTATTTAGTTTTCGGACTTATTTACCACTACAATGCATTGGTTTTGAAAATAACCAGTAGTCATCGGAGTGTATCAAGTGTTTTGGCACAACATCGACTTTATTCAGATTGAAATTGAAATTTCATCCTTACCACCATCTCTTTCAATAGGTCAAATATTGACTGAATCCACGATTTTTACAATTGTGTCAGATTCCAGACGAGATATCAAGCGCCTTAGAACTTTCAAGAAATAACCTAATAATGACGGTTGGGGATAAAATAAGACTTTTTGACCGTAAATAATTCTTCAGAGACGTAAGATTATTAAAACATGACCCACAAATAGGTTTTAAACGTGACTGAATGAAATTTAAAAATATAAATTTTCACAACAGTTGGCAAACAATTATATAACGATATCTATTTAGTATATAAATGAAGGTACTATTGACAATGTTCTTCTCAGAGATGTAACAAGGATTTTCGGCATCCCGATAATAAATTAACGTAAACCATTCCCAGAATGACATAGAGCATGTGATTTGTCATAATTCTGCTCAATTATCTTTGTGGCTTTCTATTAAATAGTGGGCAATATACGTGTACAGTCAATATATGTGAGTAAATTCTCGACTGGGGTTGTCATGTCTGTTTTGGAACCGGAAACTCTCCACTTCCGTCAGTCTCTCGTGTCCTTACTTCGCTTGCTTACAAGTACAAGTAATCAGAGATGGGGATAAGACCAATTTAAATTAAGTAAGTAAATATAGAAAGCGAATTACTTATTTATCACTTAGTATTGCAACTACTTTTAAAAATTTATTTCCGGGAAGATGTACGTACTTTTGACGACTCTTCTACTAATAAGTGGATATCAGTTGAGTAACTGATGAAATCTAGGAAGCAATAAGTAGCTATTTCGCCATAGTTTGATCATCTGTAGCGCTTTTCACCCACGATTCATGATTAACACTAGTGACAGTATTGTTTCACAAAAAAATACATTTGTTCCGAAGTAAATATCAACTTAGGACTGCTTGTACATCTGGCTGACGAGTCCCAAACAAAACGAAACGCGCGCCTTGGATTCCGTTGTAAACCATTATCCATCTCTCTTTAAAATGCTTGTGGCCTAGTGATAATACCGAGGCATTCCCCAGAGAATGTACATATGCCAAAAGGGACTGTCTAATTCCAGTCTTAAACATGAAGTGGAAGATCCGAGAGACCAACATGTATGGACTTGCTTTATAATGCCTGAAAATATGGAAATTTTTTCTTTCTGATTCAGTTATAATAGGTTCATCAATGTCTGCTGAGTTTGATCCGAAGATAAAAGTGGTACACTTTATTGAATTATTCACATCTTCAGGCTAATGACATTTGTGGTAGTCAACAAGTTATCATTCTAGAAATCTAAAGGAAAATTTCTCTCACCTTATATTAGGGAAGATTTTCTCATAATAATCAATTAGGTAACAAAGTGACATGATCAGTGTACAATATTGATCTTCCGACCAGAACGTATTAGTAAACAACAAATTGGATTCCGGAGATTTCATATGATTTCGCTTAAAACTGATTGCAGTGATGCAAATTTATTTTTGCTTTATTCCAAGTGGTGGAAGTCATATTACTAGTAATAATGTGTCATACGTGTATGAAAATCCGGTCAACTGAACCGAACTCCAGCAAGTAAACCAAGGTATTCATGAAGCAGACATACATTCACGAATCAAATCACCAAATGTACCGTGATGATATTAAGGTTCTACTTTATTACCGGGACTTGGTTTAACTCCACTTCCAAGCAAAATCATCCTAGTTGATTTGATAGAGCGTGAGAAAGTATTTAGTTAACAGTCAATATTGTTTATAGCCATCGTTAAACCTTCGTTTGTTATTTGAATCATGTAAATTAAAAGAAAGGGGAACGTAATACAAACCTTCTAAATAAAACTGACTTTTCAGTATACTATGGTCGTAATACGATTGTCAGCATGTGATAAGCGGTCTTCAGAATGTTCCACTGCTTACTTGCTTACGCCTGTTACCCTTCATGGAGGAACATAAGCAGCTCTCCAGGATTCTTCATCCAACTCTGTCCTAGTCAGTCCTTTCCAGTTGATGTTGACTGACAGTTATTCTAAGTCCTATATGTCCTTCAGTTGTATGAATGTGGCAGTTGTTTTGCCAATCCTTGCCTTAACAACTGTATCGGATCACCCTTATTCATGGATGATGATGCCCAAGTAGGTGAAAGATTCCACCTCTTTCAGTGTTTCTCCGTCAAGTGTGATTAGGTTGGTGTTCACTGTGCTATATTTCAGGAACTTGCTTTTTCTCTTGTATATGTTGAGGCCTACTTCTGTAGGGACTGCAAATACACCGACTGTTTTCACTAACATTTATTGATGTGTACGACATAAAAGAGCTAGGTTATATGGTTAGTTCAAATCGTCTATTTGCATTCAAGTTGCCTATTGTATTCCGTGCTTCCCTCGAGATATGAAGGTTATTAAAATCGAGCCAACCGCTAAGATATCGGAAAAGATAGAGAATTAGCAGCCTTGTCTGATTCAGGTCCTCACTTGGAATGCCTGTCATCTGTCCTCCGTGCACCACTTTGTAGTATAGTTTGTCGTATGAATTTAAGCCACTAACACCGTAGAGAAGAAGTTTTCATAAGGTTTTTCTATCCACATTGTCAAATATTTTCTCACAGTAAAGGAGATTAGTGTGAAGTGTCGAGTTTCTTCCGACTGACCATCCAATGATGATCCGTAGTGTTACGATTCGGTCTGTGCATAACCCATTCTTACAGAATCCGGTCTGTTGGTCTCAAAGTTGGACGTTCCTTGTACTTATGGTAGTGTGAAATGCCTCTGTAGTGTTTGCATTCCCTTAGATTTCCTTTCTTTTGTATCTTGATGAGGTATATTTATTTACAGTCCGTTGAGACTTGTTCTGACCCCGATCCTCCTCAATAGAACGTGGAGCATGTCTGCAGTTACTTCTATGTTTGACTTCAGCACTTCGATTGGTATTTTGTTTGGTCCGACAGCTGCTTTCCTCCTGTTGATTTGTACGATGGCCATGTTGATTCCCCGGATCGTTTTTGGAATAACATGTATTGGAAGGTCTGTGTCTACTTTTCTAATGTGTAGTGGATTAAGTGGGATTGGTCTACTTAATATTCTACTTAATAGTGTACTTAATATTCTAATGTATGAAAATTTATCTCTTGTCTATACTGTTCGTGTGTCCTACAACTACAACATAAGTGAGTAACTTCGGGGGGGCTGACCGTATGTCGAGCTCACATAGGTTGTTCTAGCCTTTAGACAGATCAGTCTATTTATTCTTCTTAAGTCACATTTTCATTTTGTCACTTATCAATCTTAATTATTCTTATGTAAGCATATGTGTACATTTCTCAGTTAGTCATCACATCTTTGTAACTTACTTTTGTCTGACCATAAATATGGATTCACGCTTGGTTAAATTGCGATATCTCACTCTCTCCCTCTAATGCATGTCATTTTGTTTTGCTTCACCTTCCGATCAAAGATTTTACGGAATTTACGTATTCAAAAATCCATTTCCTTATTTGGCTTGTTTAATCCCGTTATTTATCAAAGCGATTTAAACCGATAATTACATAGGAGAATTAGCGACATGTATAATTTTATAACAAGTAGCAAACTAACCACCTGCAGTCAGATCCCCGGGCCACAAAAACTTAATTACCGGAGCCCCTGCGTGTTTATGTTCGTCGGCTGTAATGTCACTCTTCAATCTCTTGTTTGATTTTATGCATTCAGCCGTTGCCTCGGCTTTCTCCGATTCTGTTTGACTTTTTTTTAATTTCTGTCTTCCTGTTCTCTTTCTCGAATCCTGCCAGTAGCTTCTATAGAGATTCATTCCCTATGATGCTTCTTGCGGACCAAAACCTCACGACACGTTGAATGTGGTGCTCGTCTGACCTATCTCCAGTTGTTCTCGGAAACTACAACCTCATAAAAGCCCTTCAAGTATGTGGAAACGTCTTTAGGAGTTTACAGATGGAAGACACGTCAGAAATGATAACCACCTGAACATTTGTGATTTAAACAGGTCTTTTGTACTTCAGTCATCTGGTGTATGTCCCAATGTTCATTAAAGTTGATGTTCGAATTCTAAATTCAATACCCTCGTTTGTGCTCATCTGGTTCCATTTGCTGTAAATTGCACTATTTCGGGAATTTCTAGTTTGTACAATAATTCAAATACTCCTAATTATCACATTGGCGTCACGATGGAGCCTGTGATGGAACAGTTGGACATACATCCAAATTTTGATGCTTTTGAGGATTACACGGAAAGATTCGAAATCTGGACTATAACTAAGGAAGATGATAATGATGTTAATATTGTAGCTCATTTCCTTATATTCTTTGGTAAAAAAGCCTACAGGTTACTGAAAATTTCCGCATTCCTAGACAAGCCGATTTTACTTTCCAACTCAACTCCCAAGGAACTACTACTAAATCATGTAGAGTGCAAACTTCGAACTCTGTAAGGGAGGAAATTTTCACAAAATGATTCATGAACATGTCAAGAATTCCACTACATTACTACGTAATTCTAATCCAATACGTACTAACGGACATGCAGGTAATCCACTGAAAAGTTGCGAATGGGGTCACGAACATCAGCAAAAGTTTGGTAAGTATTTTTCCCGTGTCAGATTTAACTCCTGTAATTGATGTGCAATTCGTGTTTCTAAGTGCTTTAAGTATGGTAAGATTGGACACATTCGGTCAGTTTGTAGAACTACTGTTCAATTGGTGCAAGTCCTGCTAAACTTTCTGATTCTGATCATATCAAGCTGAATGTTTCAAATGAACCATATTCTGAGCAGATTCATGATACAATTTTATCAGATGTATGTTGTTCTCACGATTCATGTATTTC